TACAATTTTCCCAATCTAAATTGTACAATATATGTAACATTTCGCTGGTTTATTCTTTAATTTCACACGAATCATGCACTACCCATCTTAAAGTGTGTACCAATTTACCTTCTGCAGTGGAACCGCTGGAAAAAGAAAAAGATTATCAATCAGTAACAATTCGTTTGGAAGATTTGAAGAATTCTAAAGCCTAATTCATTGGTAAGTTTTTCTCCCATTGGCTCGGTACACATTGAAACCCGTGAGCATGGTGCGGCTGTTGACACTATATTTCCCTATATTTCGAATTGGCGCGCTGTGTAGTTCTGATTTGAAATGTTAAATTACATTGATGTGCCCTTTGAAATTGGGGGCGCTCGCGTCGCCTCAAATGACCCTGACGTTCAACAGCCGCCACATGCCCGTGAGCTTTTATTGAAGTTTTTGGTGTGATACTTCGTTTTCGCACATGATTGTATTTGGATCAATATGTGTACCTAGCCGCAGAGAACTATCTAAGCTATTAAAATTAACACAGTCCTCACTTTATTGTCAATAAAACAAGTAAAACGGCAATCGGGAACAACAATGCAACTCTCATCTTGGAAATGATACAATTAATGACTCCTTTGAAATCAAAATTACTTTCTGATCAACTGTTGGGAGACTCCACCTTTTATACGATTTTCTTCGAATTAATTTTGACTGAAAATATTTTAACAATTTCAATTAGCTTTCCATCGATCTACATCAATGTTTACAAAATTGAGAAATTCGTGCGACAAACAATAACAACATTCCTCATTTGGTGAACTTAATGAGAAATTCAATTGTTATTGTGACATTGACCATTTTAATTAAGATGTTTCACAAGCAACTCTTATCAGTCCACTTCCTTTGCAGAAAATCAAATATGAGGCACTGTGTTTATTATTATTCTTTATTTCATGTTCATTTATTCTGTGTACACACAGCGATCGGCGAGTTGGGTGGAGAAAACCTCTGTTGAATTTAATGAAACACATTGCTACTACAGTAGATCGCTATGAATGCGAATATTATGGCATTTTATAAACAACATTTATTAATATGGCATGTGTGATACATATCTTAGAAGGAGCGAAAATTAGCATCTACATTCTACAAGTATCTTAGCATGGACCATTTGTATCAGGGCACGTTTGAGCCAGCATGACAAAGGATCTTGTCACTATACCCGTTTTCCAATTGCTAGATACATACTAGTATGGTCGAAGATATACCAAATCCAATGAAATCCATTTGTGGATCCCATCACGACTTTTGGAAGAACATTTAAGAGCAGGAGCCTTACTCCATATCAAATTAAGATTCTTACTCTCGTCCAGAGGTATTTTTTATCTCATTCAATTCGTGTATGCACACGAAAGAAAAGACAAACTATTAGCATAGAAGTGTGCTTTCACCTGAAAGATTACAGATCTTCTTTCGTAATAATGCTACCGAGATCTCGCAAATCATCGACGATTAAAGCAGCCAATTAGAGGTGTCAATCGAACAAATTTCGAACAAATTTTTTTTTCCGAATTTCGACACGAACATTTGTTCGAAATTGTTCAAAACGTACCCAAAAAATTTTTCAGGTCGAAATTCGGAAAAAAAAATTTGTTCGAAATTTGTTCGATTGACACCTCTACAGCCAATGTGCCATTGAAGAAGTAATCAGCGCCATTTTCGGCCATTTCCGGAGCCATTCGCACATATTCACCTTGACGTCGCGGTATATTCGTTCCATTCACGAAGAAAGTCCTCTTTTTAACGAGAGAATTAGAAGGAAAACCATTCACAAAATATGCTTGACTTTGTAAAGTCATCAACGTGTGATTATTTCGCAGAGATGACGTAAATACATATATCAAAACCACCGCATTGTCTTACTACATAATGTTAAGTTGATATAGCTTTGCATCAAATATCGCATCAGACGGGGCAGGATCTGGAAGTTGTTCAAAAGCAGTGCCGCCATGTGAAAATCCTCATTTGCCGCGCAATCTGTGTTATGTACTTGTGACGTAGTTGTATATGTGTGCGTGCGACGTGATCGCCATCTAGCGGCGAGCGCCAGAACTAAACGTCAAACCGACGGAAAATTTGATCTTTTGTGGTTAAAAGATAAAAACTGACGGGCAAGTGCACGAATTCAACGCCAACTTGTCGAAGTGGAGACGGAAAGCGTTAAGATAACGACAATGCGTGTGTATATGGCACAGGCAGTCACTCCACATGCTCGTCGTTTTGTCCAATCTGAGAGTACTAAGTTTCCGTGAGTGATACGCAAGATGGCAGCACCTTAAATGTCGTTTTTAATACACAAAGTAGATACTTGAGTGTAAATTATGTTAGAGGCGTATCAAAATGAAGGTTTAAAAAAAAATACATTGTGAATATAGAGCGTGTGGTGTGACTGTGTGATAGCCATCTAGCGGCCGACGACGATCACGAAAGGTGAATTTTGGCGGGTGAAAATTTGAATTTGAATGCCGAGAGGCGAGCGTTAAAGAGGATACGATTTGAGGTTATGTGCATCCGCACCGACATCATGTGCGTGTCTTATGTACTTGTAAGTGTATGTGGCTACGAGACAGAGACAATCAGCGGTAGACTGCTGATAGAGAGCGCGTGTTTTAAATCAATAAAAATGCAATTAAATTCTGCAGTGATGGTTTTTCGTTAGCCAGCATTATCTTAGCCTTGGCTTACACCAACAACTGGTGTAAGCCAATCGTTAGCCAGCTATCTGTGTGAAATGAGTACATTCAAAATATAATAATTTTTAATTTGAGTATTTTGATTCAAATCATACAAATAAAAAAAAATTAATATATTTCAATTGATTTTCAATTTAAAAGTCATTTTAATAATTTGAACTATTATTTTTTCAAAAACTTAATAGAAAAAATGTCGATGTTTGGTTTCATTTAAACTCTGACCTGGTGAGTTAAATGTCAGTCACAAACGTCAGTTCAGATGAGTGCGTTCAGTTCTTATTGAATTTTTCTCAATGGTCTACACATTCGTTAGCCAGTATACACTTATGCGGCCAATTAGCCAGCTAATATGTTCTTCACTGAAATTCTGTCCTAATTACATAATAATTGAAGGACATATATAGCAAATACAATTCCATTTATTGAATTTTTAAATAAGAGCTTGGAATATAACCATTGACAATTGAAACGGTTTGCAATGTTTACTTTTGGCTTCTATGTCGGTTTGGCATTCGAATTTTTATTCACAAATTCGCGCTCAGTGCTATGCATTCGCAACGCTGCCATATGATTTCTATGTAAACATTCGCAGTCGCATTCGTATGGCAGTCGTATTTCGCTGTTCTCGAACGTTCTCACGAATGCGAGTGCGAATGTTTACATAGAAATCATACGGCAGCGTTGCGAATGCATGCCCAAACACGAATGAACGAATGAATTATGTAGTCACAAGTTCGCTGTCATAGCCGTATTCGTCGCATTCGCAAACATTCGAATTTTTGTTCTGAAATGCGAATGCATTCGCAGCATTCGCGAGAGCTAAATCCCCTTAGTTTTGGATTTGATTTTAAAAATTGGATTTACTTCATTGTATCACAAAGTCAATAATAGCATAAGCGTTTTTCTGTGATAAAACCAAACTTTATTTTCCAAAAATAAACTTTTTCTTCATCTTTTTCTTATATATCAAAAAATCACAATACCAATGGTAGGTATTTTGCGGTAATGTGATTTTGATGATTTCAGCTGAGGAATTAACAAGCGCGATGCATCTTTACAAGCCTAGAAGCAAAAGTGATTCGGCTCAATTTAATTATGATAAAATAACATTAAATACAATAGGAACTTACACAAATTTAGCGTCTTGATGGTTTAGATGTGCTAGACGATTCAAACATTTTTCGAGTCTAAAAATTTATAAAAGAAGAATCCAAAAAGATGAAAATAATGAATATTTGGAACTTGTGAAATAAACAAAAATAAACACTTACGCGATCTTTTCATTGTTTTTACGCGTAAATATTTGTGTTGGCATATCTGGGCATCGTGGCTTAAACCTACAACCATCATTAAACATATTTAAAATGAGCTGAACTTTTTTTCCTTTTATTATTACTTACTGATTCCAATTATTGTCAATTAGTTCTTTACATTCATGGGATAAACCGGAACTGATAATACCTATATGATTGAATTTGTATGAATGAATAAAGCTTAGAAAACATTGGAAAATGGTTCATTCCTTCGGAATTTAAAAGAAATTCACATGAAAACAAAACCACTTTTTCCACCATAAAAAGTACACTTTAAGATAGGTAAGTCAACCATTTCTTGAAACTTTAAGATTTTTATCGAAACATCTGTCATTTTCTTAGGAGCAAAATTGCTGTCTTTGACATTTACGTGCTGGTCCAAATGATTTAAATGCTAAATACTGCATTGCTCGGGCCAAAGTATGATTCATAGATCATAGGTTCTCGATATTGGGTGCAAACTTATGTTCGCACGTATATGAGCAAGGATCAGTAAGAGGAAACCACATATATATGTGCGTAGCTAATATCAAACGTCAATATTAAGTATACACACGCACGCACGTAATACAGTGCAAAAACCATGAATGGCACGATAGTCTGTGCAATGCTGTATTTGGCGCTTAAATTGTTCGGATCAACACGTAAATATATTTGTGAGTGTACAATTTTCCCAATCTAAATTGTACAATATATGTAA